AGGCTGTCAAGATGGATCTCTTCCAGCAGGCCTTCCCAGATTAGATATTCCAGCCTTGGGGTATCCAGCTACTTACCCTTGGAATATCCTCGAGAGGTCTCTCCCTCAGTTATATATAAAGCAATGTTGCTGACTGATGAGTTCTGGATATTAGTGCATTGATGTTTCACTTTTGTTATTTTAATTACCATGATTTTAATCTGTACTAGTTTAATACTGTTTTAAGGGGGGGAGGGTTTGGGGTTTGATTATATTGACTGTATTGGAATTTTAATATGCTGTTAGCCGCCCCGATTGTTCTCAGAGGGGCGGGGTATAAATAAATTTTATTATTATTATTATTATTATTATTCTCTCGCACATTTCGAATGAGTTGATTTTCTTCTTATCAGCTTTCTTCACCATCCTGCTTTTACAACAATACATTTATTCATTTCTCTTGCCTTTTTCCCAGTTCAAGATGTATAGCGACTTACAACAAATTTTAAAAAATCATTGAAAACCCCAAGATAAAAACTTAAAATGTGATTAAACAATCAAAAAAATTGAAGGCAGATTAAAACACTTATCATTAAACACACACACAACAGCACAGCTTGTCTTGATGGCAAGTTTTAAAGTTTTGCCTGGCAGTTTTCCAGGATGGCAAAAAAAATTCCAAGAAAGTTGTGGGGTAGGGGGAATGGTATAAATATATCCGAGACTTAATTTTGCTGCAGAGGGTGGGTCTGATTTGGGATGCTCCTTCTGTTGTCTTCTTTGCAAAAGCTTAGTCCGGTTGCTAAGGAACACACTTTTAAAAAAGGCAGCACATTTGTCTTTGCATTGCAGTCAGGAGCCTTGGGAAAAGCAAGGGCCTTAGATGACTCCTTAAATAGCACTAGCGGGGAAAGGAAGTTAAAAGATGGTACATCCATCAGTTCAAGATTTGGTTACAAAGGTCATCCAGCTAGAGGAAATTCTGTGGGCTGATTTTTTTCGAGAAGGGACAAAAGGTGGTGGTGGAAAGGGCAGGGGAAAGAGATTTGTGTCTCTTAAGTCTGCAGCGCACATGGAATTTTCCAAAGATGCCTAAAAATTCAGCACAAGCACACTGAGCTGGCTAAAGCTAATGTTGTTGCGCTTGGATAATAGCCAATAGCTTGGAACAGAAAATGTGGTGGGTTGTGTTTTATGCTAGATCATATAAATCTCTGTAATCTCAGGCAGTCTTTTTTTTAAAAATGATCAGCATTAGAACTGGACTGACTGGCAGCACCTTCCACCTCCAACATAGCTTCTGCCAGCTAGATATGGCAGCAAGGATATGGCAATAGATTATAGATACTGAAATGCACTGGAGAAGGAGCGCCTGATTCTAAGGGGTTATTCAGATGGTGAAAATAATCTGGGCATAATCTTTGTTGTGCAGATGTATTTTAATGTATCTGATTGTTTTTTTAGGGGGGCTGCCAAAAAACCCACTTAATCCAGAATAATCAATATATGAGTTTTTCCTTAAAAAAGATATGCATCATTGGCAGTGAGACTAACTGATGCAAATAGACCTGGGATAAACTGGGATAAAATTTTGCATGCCTTGAATGTCTTTCAAATACATTTGCTTTGTTGACTCCATTTTTATTCGAGTGCTGGCCCTTGTGAGCATCTGAACTCACAGAGATGCACAGAGATGCAGTCTCATAGTGTGAATAACAAACCCAGAATGCATGAGTGAGATTATTCACATAGTCATGCTAAAAAAAAAAAGAAGACATCTGAATGACCTCTAAGATTACAATGAACAGGAGATCTGTCATCACATAGCAATTGAATGCTCCATTCCTTGACTTGGTGCTCTCCAGATATTTCCCAGCTCCAACCAGCATACTGTCTAGGGCTGATGGGAGTAGATTCCAACACATCTGGAGGGCACCAGATTCAGGAAAACCGGTTTAATGTTTATCTGTTTGGACATGGAAGGTAAACGGGTGTCCTCTTTAATGTTGATCTCATTTAATGCTATATGAAATCCTGTTTGGATTTGGAAGACAGATGTTTAGGTAATGCCATGACCATTGAGCCCCCAAGAACACACTGTTTGTTTTGGTGGGAACTTGCACTAATTGTAAAGACTACCTTCTCTGTACCATCTGCTTGCTTACTCCTGAGTGCTCAATGCGTATTTGTTGTTGTTGTTGTTGTTGTTGTTGTGTGATTTCAAGTCATTTCTGACTTACAGTGAGCTGAAGGGAAACCTGGGAGCCAGTGTGGCAAAGTGGTTTGAGTGCTGAACTTCGATTCTGGAGACCAGGGTTCGATTCCCAGATCAGCCACAAAATCCACTGGATAACCTTGGGCAAATCACATGCTCTCAGCCTTAGGAAGGCAATGGCAAACCTCCTATGAACAACTCTTGCCAAGAAAACCCCATGATAGGTTTGTCTTAGGGTCACCATAAGTTGGAAATAACTTGAAGGCATACAACAGCAACAACAATAACAGGACGAACCTATTATCTGTAAATAAAAATGAAGTAGTAAAAGCATCTTACATATATGTAGACACAGAGGGTTAGTAAATCAAAAAGAAGATGGTTGAGAGAAGAAAACCAGTAAAACGTAGCCTTAAGAGTTAAGCAAATTTTATTGATTTTTTAAAAAAATGAGAACTGAAGGAAGGTATACTTCTCTACAATGCTGATCCCACTGTAGTGAAGTTAAAAGTGGAGGGAAAATTTAATAGCTATTCAAGGGGGGGTAATGTGTATCTGTGTGTGAGAGAGATGGAAAGAGCCCCACATTTCTGTTGATGCTATAATTCAATGGAATCTTATCAAGGAAAGCTTCTTTTAGTTCCTTGCTTTGTATTCCATTCGTTTACCACAAGAAGCAATTCATGATCTCATATCATAGTCTTTCCTATTCCAAAATGGCTGCAACTCCAGTTAAATCTTTGAATTTACTCTTGTTCTGGCAAAGAAGAGGAAATCTCTGCTTCATTCTCTTCTTTTCAGAGCACAAACTACATTCTGCTTAGGTAAGTACTTTGTACTCAGAGTCTGCAGCAATTGCAGCAATCTGAAGACAAAAGAGGGAATTGGGGGAAGGAGGGAGAAACAAGTAGTATAGTTGGCCCTCTATATTTGCAGATTTGACTCTTGCAGATTTGGTTATTCATGGATTATTTGTTGCCACTTCTGCTGCTGCCCTATGCCATTTTTAATTGGTACTGGAAACCTCGCAAGACTGAGACTGTGGCTTGTAAGTCCCTATTAAAAATGGTGTTGGGCAGCAGTGGAGGTGGCGGCAAGTCCCACCAACTGCCCCCTTCTGCCTTGCAAAGGAACCCTGCATCCATGGTGGGTTGAATTTGCAGATCATACTTTTTGCTTATTTTAAATATGGGGGGGGGAGGTTAGAGTTATTTGCAGTTTTTCAATTCGTTCAAGGGACCAGAGCCCCTAATTCCAGTGAATATGGAGGCCTGACTGTACAATGTAAGGCTAGCAGAGAAAATAAGAAGGCAGAAAAGGAAGTATGGGTATCCTGGCTGAATTGAGACCGTTGAAGGTATATGCTGTTTCCCCATATGTCCTGCTTGTAGACTTTCCAGAGACATCCAGTTGGCAGCTGAAGGGAATCAGATGCTGGACTAGTTATGCCAGGTCCTGAGAATGAATCTAGCTCTGCTGCAATCCTCACACTGTCTTCTGGGACCCCTTTCCAGGATGTGTGTGGTTTCCTAGTTTTTGTACAGCCTTCTTATTCTAAAACATTAAAATTGTCTCTTAAGCTTTAGATATACCAGCAGCAGGAACGTCAAGCTGAATATGCTGATATTTTTGGTTCCAGTTAAGTACTTGTGATCCTGCCCACTGCTGGAAAGCGGTCCACAATAATTGAGCAGAAATTGACTTTGCTGAAAAAGATTTCCCAAACTTGAGACAGGACTTTGGTCTGATCCAGCAGGGATTTTCATGTCACAAAACCTTGCCACAAATGCAGAAGGCAAAACCTTCCTGCATGCAGATCTACAGTTCCCAAAATGTGGGTCTGTTTTCTTTTGAGATGGATCTATGTGGAGGAGGAAAGAATTTATATGTGATGTGTGAAGGCTGAACAGTAGGAATTGCAATCTGAAGCCAGGAGGCATCACTCACTTCATACCTGGCTGGGAGATGCCATTGTTGTATTGAATGGAAGCATTCAAGTCTAGAATTTGTACCCAGATGTTGAACTTGTATTGAAAGTCTTCCCTAGTTTAAAGGCACATCACTAATAAGTCTAATTATTATTATCTTGCCGTGAACCTTTGCAAACAATGTACTTTCCACCCACAGCCTGACTAAGGAATACCAACATTTTAATTATCTGATTATTTAGACCCTACACAGATAATGTGGGATCTATTATTATTCTAATATAGTTGCTATATGAGCAGTCATTCTGTCTTCACACTCACTCATTCATACACTATGCAAGACTGGATGCACATTTCTTTATCTTTCTTTAGTTATTTGAAGCATTTTACCTTTCCCTTTAGCCAAAAAGTCTGCCAAAGCAGTTTACAAATTGTTAATCTGACAATCTCTGCCTTCCTCCTTTCAAGATAAGCAAGAAATGATAAGACACAAGAGAACATCAGCCAGGGACAGCTCCATTGTTCCTTGATCTCAGTGGCTGGTGAATGGTCCTCCCTCCACTCCTCCTACCACTGTTGTGGCCTCTGTGAGAGAGAAGAGCAGACAGGCAAAGTATCATTGTGCCTTGATCCCAGCAGCTGGTGAGAGGACTTTTCTCCATTCCAATTACCACTTATGTGGCCTCTAAGAGACAGAACATCAGCCAGGCACAGATTTATTGTGCCTTGGTTCCAGTAGTTGGTGGGAAGTCCTCCCTCCACACCTACTATTACTGCTGGAGCCTCTAAAGGAGAGAACAGACAGCTTTTGCTGGATTTAATCATCTCCCAAATTTGTTGCTGTTAACTACCCTAGAGTTGACTTCAGCTGTGGATGAGACATCTCCAAGATCCCCAGTCTTCCACTGCTCTGCTCAGGTCCTGCAGGCTCAAGTCCATGACTTCCCTGATTGAGTCTAACCATCTGGCATGTGGTCTTCCTCTCTTTCTACTGCCCTTTACCTTTCCTAGAATCACTGTCTTTTCTAATGATTCATGCCTTCTCATGATGTAGCGAAAGTATGAC